TGCAACAATGAATGAATGGAAACCCAAAATCTCTGTAAATGTTTATGAAAATTAATAAAATATAATTATAGAAAAAAAAGAAGTTGCATAAAGCAGACAGACTCCTTTATCAAGATCACTTTAGCGTTCATTTAAAATTAAAGAGCATGCATAGCCAGCTTTGCATAAAAATGTAGGTGAGAATAACTCCAGGCACTTTGGCTAATGCTAGGGTAGGTGTTTTAAAGATGTATTTATTCCAGAAATACAGTTATATGATAGGTTTAAATTGAATCTGGAAAAAAAATAACGTATCCATTTGAGTCTGCAAAGAGAACCTGGTGGAGCCTGGAACGAATGCAAATGGACAAATTTTACCACATACAGAAAGGCAAACGGTAGGTAACCTTTTAGATAGGAAGAAGCCATCCAATACACCCTAGGCTCACTCCTTGCCAAGAAGCAAGCTTGACCACAAGTGGAGTTCAAACAAGCCAGAAGTGCAGCTGGTGGTGCTGCTGGAGCCAGGAATGTATGTGCCTCCTTACCTAAAATTAGCCAGGTCTCTTTCACCACAGCTTCACCGGGCACCTCTATTTTAAGGTGTGCAGCCCCAAATTGCTTTAGAGCATGCAAATGCTGCCAAGGTCAGTTTATGGAACTACAAGTGTCAGCAGACTTTCCACCATGCCTTTAGAAAGGCCAATTAGATTCTGAAAAAAAAATCCCACTCTTAATCATTATGCTATCTACTGTTCAACTACACCAAACTGAAATCATACATAGATGTCCATGAAAGTATATCACAAAAGGATGCAGTAGGAAATATAAAAGCAAAAAGAAAACCTAATTCTTTTTTTAATTATATATACACACACATGATCAATTGACACAGTGACTGTAACAATGAGCTGGAGCATATCAGAGATCAGGAGGATGGCACAGGATAGTGCAAGGTTCAGATCTGTTGTTCATATAGTCACTACAAGTGAGTGGAAGTTAATTCAATGGTATACAACAACAACAATTGATGCAATATGAAAAATGGAAGTGGTGGAAAGGGGGAGACTAGCAAAAGTCTCCATGCTGAAGTTTTCTTGAATTTTCATGAAACTGTATAAAATGGACAGCTGAAACACTTGTAAATAATGTCACATCGTTGTCTGCCTTTCTCTAAGAGTTGTAGGCTCCAGAAGTAAATCCAACAGAAAAGCCTACTCAATCTGAATTCTACATTCCAGAAACACTAGATGGGAGCTGGTATGGGTCTCTTTGAAGAATCTTCTCTAATGTTTAGAAAAAGGAAAACGATCTAAACTTTCAAAGACAAACGAAAGCTTAGTCATTCCACCAAAACTAAAGATAACCTCATCAATGACTGGTAAACTTAAACTGTCAAGTATTCGGGCTTAGCAACACAGCTGAAATTCAAGCTGCAGAAATAGTGTTCAGTGTTTCTATAACCCAGTCAAGACTTTATCACCAGAAACCTGAGACATTAGTTACAGAACAGACATTTAACACTATTATTGTCTCAAACGATTACGTTCTAGCAGTCTACAACAATAATACTGGTTTTGCCAGGTACAATCTATTATTTTAAGACATAAAAAAAAAAATCACAAAGCATACATACCTTCATTTTCAGAAGCATGACATTTCACTTTCAATACCAAATCAAAGGTCCTTTCTGGATTTTCCCTAAAAAACAAAACAAAGTCATCAGTTGTTTCTTTACACGGCATATGAATCAGGGTCTCTTTACATTTCATATGAAGAAATGTGGTGATATAAAACTTAAAAGTGCCACCTATTTGGTGGTTCAAATCCATCAACCACTCTGAAGAAGCAAGATGAGCAAACTCCTCCTGTGGATTTACAGCCTCAGGAAACCACTGTGAATTTTTAGCCTCAGGAAACTCAGTTGGTTCTGACTTGATGGCAATGAGTTTTAGTTTTAATAAAGTTTATATACAGGCAGTGTGAGTTAGTAGTTTAATTCTCATCTCCCCATTAGGAGACCTGGGTTTGATTTCCGGGCACTGTACTCATGTGAAGCTATCACCCAGATGTCAGAAAAAGTATGTAGTTGCTATGATGTTGAACTTGCTTTAGTGAAGTTACCAGACTAAGAAGTTAATCTTCAGAAAATCAGCTATTGAAAATTCTACTGGGTCAAAATGGACCAACTGTGCAATTGATTACAGGGATGGTGAAAAGCCAACTAAGTGTTTTGTTCACTGTGAATAGGTGACCAGGAGTCAGAAGCAACCTCTACAAGCATCTAGAAATAACAATAAAGCTTATCCTAAATTCTAAAAGTAATCTTATTCTTATCTCAATGTGTGCCACATGACTCTATGTCTACTCAAAGCAAACAAATAAAAACCACACCAACCCACTCCTTTGTTGGCTAAAATTCAAGCTGCACAGACAGCAATCAATACTTCTACAATTCTGACTCACGGTGACCCTCCATCAGGTTCCCAAGGCTATAAATCTTTACTGGAGGAAACTGCTCTCATCTTTCTCCCTTGATGCAGCAGATAGAGTTGAACCATCAACATTTCCATTAGCAGTTCAACATCTAATGCTCCTTATAGTACCAGAGAGCAGCAGAAATAACAAAGTGTTTTCCCAGATCAGTAAAGAGCTGAGGCTTGGGAATCTTAAGAAGGTCAAAACATTTAAGAAGGTCAAAACAGAACTTGTTTTCTCACTTATCAAGTGCTCTATTTTATAGACTATCCGTGAATATATCAAATAATTTATGTGAAAGTACTTTATAAATTATGAAGTGCTATATAAATACAAGATATTGCTTGGATCATCTCAAAGCAAAATTTTAAGTGTCTTACCAACTGAGAAGTCTTGTAAGCAAACTTTCTTCAAATTACTAGTAGTAATGTTAAGTGTATATGCTAGTTCCAACCATCAGGCTTCTAAGGTATTAACAGCAATGAGCAGGCCTCCAAGATCAGGACAAAACATTCAAAATGCATCTTGAATGTGATACTTTGCATATTGGAGAGGATTAAACCAAGCTACTCCTTGGAGGCAAGGATTCTGGGGCTTCGTCTGACATACTTTGGACATGTTGCCAGGAGGGACGGGTCCTTGGAGAGGGACATCATGCTTGGGAGGGTGGAGGGACAGCGCAGGAGGGGAAGACCCTCTATGAGATGGATTGATTCAGTGACTGGGGTAATCGGGATGGGTGTGTCAGAGGCGGTGCGGTTGGCGCAGGATAGAGCAGGGTTTAGGGCTGTTGTGCATAGGGTCACTATGAGTCGAAAACGACTCGACGGCACATAACAACAACAACATATATATGCAGTGTAATTATTTCATGTAAGTATGCTTAAAGTAGCAAACTACACATAGACTTCAAGGCTAGCAAAAAAGTATTATTTTTATGTCAGTTCTTTCTGAGGAATTTGGACATCTGTCTCAATATCAGGTTTTTCCACTAGAAACTTTAAGGTTGCTTGCTTTAATCAGAAGTTACTGACTTTTCTCCCCTGACTTCTCACATATTTAATGTATTTAAAGGTTTCATTTAAAGAAAGCAAAAGTGTAATCTATCGAAACACTTTTTTTCCAAAACAGTTCTGTCTTAATCTTCCTTTCCGCTAGAAGCTAAAAGATTAAATTAAGCCTGATACCACACTGTCCATGTGACAAAGTGTTTACATATTTCAGTTATTCCTGCTAACAAGTTCTTATAGTTTTGAACATTGACTGTTTTTAATACAAATGTCCTCTAACAAACTAATGCCAGGTGTGAAGTCTACATAAACACTGGTTTTTAAAATATTTTACTACAAAACATGAATCTAGATGGACGGGAAATGACAGGCCATATAAATCAATTGGAAAAAAAAAGTTTCTTCAGCTTATCAACTTATCAACTTTTTTCAATGGGAACAATCTGGACTTGATGTACATTTGTCCTTAATAATAAATGTTAAAAACTGTACTTTTTTTTATTCATCCCACTATCTTTCCATGACTTTAAACACTAAAAATAATTATAAATTCATTTCTTTCAATGTTCCTAAAATTATATAGGATTTCTCTTAGGTGTGGAAACTAGTGATTAAACTGTATTTCCCTTAAATTAATACAAATATACATTATATTCACTATATTATACTTTTGGGTATGTACAGAGTACACAAAAGAAGAAATTCTTTGCAAAGTTAAGTTTCAAGAGAACCATATAAAACTTATGTTTCCCATACAACTATTAACGAAATAAATCGTCACACTTATTCAACCGCTGTGTACCTAATCAATTGTTTGTTTCTTCTTGGTTTCTCATGGAAAAAATACTCATCGATGTGTTCATTTTAATGCACACCTCCATATATGCACCATCTAATAAGATACCATTTTGCATGCACAATGCCAATACACATACATGATATGGCCATAGAAACAAACAGCAGAGAGAAATTTCATTCTAAAAAGAAATAGGGTGAAAACACCAGAGACAAAAGTAATAGCTACACTGAGCGTGCATTCTTAATGGGCATGCTAAGAACGCGCTTGAAATAATAACAGCAGCATAACCTCAACGCTGACACCCTCCCGGGCACCAGGGAGAGCCAGACAAGGGCGAGTCACGTCTGACACACAGGGGGAGAAGGAGACACCCACAGCGGGCGGTGTCAGGAGCCGCCGGGCCTCCCCCTTGACCCGGGAAGCGGCGTCGACTCTGCGCGCCGCGGCAGCTCGGGG